GATGATTATCATTTCATTTCTTATTCCAGCTACGTATGAAACGATACAATATACAGGATAGCCGTATCAGAGAATTTAGAGTGGGTTTGCTGTTCATTTACATAAATTGTCACTTTCATTTTCTGTTTCTTGAAACTGACAAACTTCAGATAATTGCAGATTTCATTTTCCTACTGTAAACTTTCTAAACCATCATTTTGAAATCAAATTACACAGCTTATGCTTAAAACATAAGGGCCAGATTCTATCTTCAAATACACCACCCACTCTCTAACAGCAGAATTTGGCCCCAAAAACCCATTAACAAATATTGTCATTAAACTAAACAGCTAATTACTTTGGATTCAGACAGAATAAACAAAAATCATAGGCCAAACTCAGCTGGTAGTAATAGTGGTAAGACTAACCGTATGTTACACTGGAGATTTAAAGAACAAAGACGTACTAACACTAATGTAACCAAACATAGAAAATTACCTTCCAAATGGAGCAAACTATTATAGCTAGAAAATTCTTGAAATCACACTGGAATTACATGATACAAGAAATAAAGAATATTCTAAGAAATTAATGTCACAATTCAAAATTTTCAGTGTTTAATGAGGAGGGAAATGAGAAATCTATCTACTGCAATATTCCACAAATGAAGAATTACATCTAAAAATCATTTTGATCTAATTGGAAGTACTATTCTCATATTCAAATCAGTTTAATACTACAAGATGCAAGAGCCTTGCTTTAAGGCTATTTTAAATAACCATTAGCAGGACTACTTTATAGTTCTATGAAAGTGAACTTCCCAGAAAACTGAACATTTTCTCAGCTCTTAAAAAATATGTTTAAATTACTTTAATAATATATACTTTAGAAAAAGTTTTATAAATGCTGAGGAGCAATAAAAATTAGCCATGATTTCATCAATCGATCATAACCATGAATAATATTATGATGTAGACCATTTCAATTTTCTTCCTATGTATCTGTAGCTTTTCTTAATCAAAATGGGACCATATCACAACATAGTTTGTAACTTGTTGTTTTCATTTACAATATATTATGAGCATTTTGCCACATCAATTTTACTTTTGCTACATTAATTTAAATGACTTTCTCAAATTGAGAATAATAGACATTTTAATTATTCTGGATATCTCACAAATATCATTATTACACTGTTTCATAATAACACTAATACTCCCCAGAGATTCCTACATATTTAAATCTCCTTTCTCCTATACTGAATGGTTCCAGATGGCTCTGCTGCTCTAAAGCTCTATCTTACTTTCAGCTCTTTTTCCCTCTCTCTCAATATCAGATTTCCAGATACAGCTAACCCTGGCTGAAATAAACCTAAATTTGCTATTTTCAATTCTAGATTAATGACATGGCAGATTATCTACTGACAACTAAAATGATACATGATTTCAAATTGAATTACATTTATAAGTACCAGGTATTTTCTTCACTTCCTCAAATTTCATCTTGGAGGAAAAATTCCTCCTACCTTTCTCCCTCAAGAAATCATTATTGCAAAACACTTGGCTAGCTTCTCCTTGTTAATAAGTCATACCTGACCAGATTGATGTTTACTGCTCTTTGTATTATGGTTTTTACCAGCAAGTTTGGAAGACAAAAGAATGCTATGATACATGAGGGGACCAGACTAGATCTCAATGGTCCATTTCTGCTCTAAAACTTTATGCTTCTATGAAGTTTCTTTATTTATTCTTTTGTTGTGTATTTTACTTCATGAGTATGGAGGCTGTTTCACTCAGGTTCCCTGAAGCTACATTGTAAGTTTTCTATAGGAAGCCACAATTTAAGATAAATAAGCCAATGATAATGAACATGACTCGCTTGAGGACACAATTCTATTCTTTCTCCACCTGCTCCTCTGCAAAGAAAAAAAAAAAAAGAAGACGAAAGAAAGAAAGCGTGGAAAAGTAGTTTCTATATTTTTCTGAAATTGAAGTATTATAAAAGATCTGCACTAAAAGCTTTATGAAATCTTATCTGGAGACTCTGTTGAACCATAAACTTGTATACTATATATTTAAGGATTTTTACTATCTTGTGTACTACAAATTTTAGAATTTTACCATCAGAAGGCAATCTTATTACTGAAAACAGTTCTAACAACAAATGTACATGAAAATTCATTGTTAGAGTTAACCCAATTCTGTAAATCTTTTATTTTGGTTACTTTAAGTGTTGCTTTATTTCATTTTATTATTTTTAAATTTTTTATTGAAGTATAGTTGATTTACAATGTTGTGTTAGCTTCTGGTGTGCAGCAAAGTGATTCAGTTCTACATATGTATGTTCTTTTTAAAATTTTTATGCTGCTTTATTTTATGCATATAACTATATTTATTTTCTTTGTGTAATACTAATAGGTAATGTGTAGCTAACTTGCATTATATGGGCACACTTCTTTTTGATTAGGGTTTATTTTTGCCTTTTGGTACTTTATGGACAAGAAAGTCTATACGATATGAATAAGTTCACACAAAGACTAACAGAAAAGAAAATAGCTATAAGCCTGAAACTCAAAGGATTTTGATTAAAAACTTCACTCTTCACTGTAAAAGTAATATCATATTGAGCCTTTAAAAAAAATCATCACAATTTAAGGTCTGAATATGTCTGTACCAGCCTCTTCTTTTACTTAAATAAAAATGTAAACCTTTTATAAACTTAAAATTGCAAATAATAAAGATGAAGTTGCTAAATTATATATAAGAAACAGAAATAAAATAAGTGATATTCAATGAATGTACATTTACCCTGTTATAAACATAGCACGTGATTTCTAAGGTTTAATCTGCAGAGGAAAAGAGTAGCTAAAGGCATATTAAGCAGATCTGTTCTTTTCAAATCTAAGGCTGAGTTTTTAAAATGAAGAGAAAAAGAAAAAACCGTCAAAAAAAAATGCTTAGCCAACCCTCAGTAGTAATTCATTATTATCATCTTCTACATATTTCTTAGAATTAGATCCATAAACATCTGAATAAATTAAAACATTATGTGGAACAGAGAAACAGCTAAAGAGAGCAATGGCAGGACTGTCACTCTAAAAGAGAGAGAGAGAGACATCAGGGAAATTAGCTCATCAAACTGAACTTTAAAAAGGAATACTGGGGCTCCCCTGGTGGCGGACTGGTTGAGAGTCCGCCTGCCGATGCAGGGGACACGGGCTCGTGCCCCAGTCCGGGAAGATCCCACGTGCCGCGGAGCGGCTGGGCCCGTGAGCCATGGCCGCTGAGCCTGCGCATCTGGAGCCTGTGCTCCGCAACAGGAGAGGCCACAACAGTGAGAGGCCCGCATACCAACAACAACAACAAAAAAAAAACCCAATCCAAAAATGGGCAGAAGACCTAAATAGACATTTCTCCAAAGAAGATATATAGATTGCCAACAAACACATGAAAGAATGCTCAACATCATTAATCATTAGAGAAATGTAAATCAAAACTACAATGAGGTATCATCTCACACACGTCAGAATGGCCACCATCAAAAAATCTAGAAACAATAAATGCTGGAGAGTGTGTGGAGAAAAGGGAACCCACTTGCACTGTTGGTGGGAATGTAAATTGATACAGCCACTATGGAGAAAAGTATGGAGTTTCTTTAAATAACTAAAAACAGAACTCCCATACGACCCAGCAATCCCACTACTGGGCATATACCCTGAGAAAACCATAATTCAAAAAGAGTCATGTTCCACAATGTTCATTGCAGCTCTATTTACAATAGCCAGGACATGGAAGCAACCTAAGTGTCCATCGACAGATGAATGGATAAAGAAGATGTGGCACACATATACAATGGAATATTACTCAGCCATAAAAAGAAACAAAATTGAGTTATTTGTAGTGAGGTGGATGGACCTAGAGTCGGTCATACAGAGTGAAGTAAGTCAGAAGAGAAAAACAAATACCGTATGCTAACACATATATATGGAATCTAAAAAACAACAACAAAAAATGGTCATGAAGAAACTAGGACCACGATGGGAATAAAGACGCAGACCTACTAGAGAATGGACTTGAGGATACGGGGAGGGGGAAGGGTACGCTGGGACAAAGTGAGAGAGTGGTAATGTATATATGGACATATATACACTACCAAATGTAAAATAGCTAGCTAGTGGGAAGCAGCCGCATAGCACAGGGAGATCAGCTCGGTACTTTCACCTAGAGGGGTGGGATAGGGAGGGTGGGAGGGAGGGAGATGGAAGAGGGAAGAGATATGGAGATATATGTATATGTATAACTGATTCACTTTGTTATAAAGCAGAAACTAACACACCATTGTAAAGCAATTATACTCCAATAAAGATGTTTAAAAAAAAAGGAATATTGGAAAGGATTAATAATTCAATTGGGGGGATCAAAAAAGGAGCCCTAATTTAGCACTAATTTAAAATATGCCTTCCTTGTTTATTCTTGTGACTGAAGGAAACAAACCACATAAAACCCCTTTAAATGAAGTCTGAAAATTAGAAGTACATTATTTTAAATGCCAATTTCCATGTTTCTCAAAGGCCCGAGACCCACTTTCATCAGGATCTTTTGGGGGTGAGTAGCTGTAAAAATGCAGATTGCTGGACCATATCCCAGTCTAGTGAATCTAACTCTCTGTGAAATATGCCCTGGGATCAGCATTTTAAGAACCTCTCTCTCCCCTCATGTCACTCTCATGCATATTAGAATTTGGGAACAACTGTATGCTATGCTTTTTTGTGTGAAACTGATTTCAGATATCAAGATAACCACTGTGCCTTGCTTGTATTTATATTTACATGACATGTAACAAGTTTTGAACTTTGTATTTTATTTACCTTTTTTTGCTGCAGAACTACACATAGCTGGCTATTTTCCTTATATTCAACAACTGCTTTTACTTTTGTATATTTAAAAAAATATATTAAATATTCACTTTTGATGTAATTAAGAGTTACACAAGAATGTGAGTTACTTCCAAAGTTCTCTTACCTTCAAATCCTTATTCTTATTCAGAAAGCTCTGAACATATACAATGGAAATTTTCAAGAAGAATATATGCAGTGGATTCTCTGTTTAATTTTCAAGTGTTTCAGGGCTGGCCAAGAAGACTCCTGAGCAGGACACCAGAAACGCCATTGAGAAGGGAAGACAGCAATGCTGAAGCCTCTGGGTACCTGATTACCTCTGAACAGAACAGAAAAACAAATAGTTGGTCACCTGAAATTCACAGAGAATCTGCTATGGAGAAGGTTATTTTCAGTAAACTAGCACTGTTACTAAATTTAAACTTGGCCTGGGTTCGCTGCTCCCTGATTTAGCACCGTTGTTATTTGAAATTTCATATCACTGTGAAGTCAGCATTGCGTGATGCTGTTGCCTGCAGAGGATTCTGGTTGAATTCATATTGCTTTAATTGACTACTTTTCTAAACATTGCATCAAGTGGTATAATTACTAATTTTATTTTTGATATGCAGGTGCTACATTTTGGTGCTGAATTTCTTCCTAAGTCAAGGCTGATGAGGTCTTTTGGAAATACATCCTTATGTGAGACTCTATCACATCTCATAAAAGATAAAATGTGATACTTTTACTAAATCCCAATGGAATCATCTGGTACTTTTGCTATGTTTTCTTTAACATGGGTAATGACTGCCAAGATAATTAGACATAAATAAAAATTATATCCTTTGTACTCAATATGTGTTGCCTACTCAGGGAAACCAAAATTCTAGCTTCTTTGCTGCATGAGTTAAGCAGGTGTTAGTAGTAGCTAATGGAAAAAGAGAATAAAACACCCATTTTAAAAATTGGTAATTAATCACGCAAATATTCTCCCAAAGGGTAGAGGAAGCATCATGTACAGATAAATACAAAGTCAAATACAAAATAAGAGTGTAATACATATGTAAGCACAGAGCACACTGTAGAACGATAGGTTTTCACGGAAGAGCTTACTGTTTGGCCACCCAAAAACCATTTCCAACTTGCTTCTTGCTTGCTATGACTCACACAAATAGAGAACAGAAAATCAAACGTTCACTCTCCTGGTCTCCCTTACTGCTAAGAGTGGTCATGCAATCCCATTCTGGCCCATGAACCATAAGAAGTACACTGGGTTAGAAATCCAGGCAGAAATTTGTTTTATTGATAAACAGAAAGATTCCTTCTCCTCTTCTCTTTACCACACAATTGCTTGCCTTGAATGAGGCCGTGATACTTGGAGGTAGAGCAGTCACCTTGTCACCGTGATGTAAAACATAACAAAAGTCCAGAGAAACTCAAAGATATTGGCCCTGTTATTGATGAGCAGCTGAACCAACACGACTAACTGTTTCCTTTGGAACTGTACTTGTTTAAACCATTGGGTTTTCTGTTGCTTGCTAACAGAATCATTGTAGGTTGACGAAATGCTCAAAAAACATTTGTTAAACAGTAAGTGCCACTGCTATGATTGTAGTGATATCTATCTTTATAAATTGCAAAGTAATCTGCAAGTTCTCATTCTATGGAGTCAAGGACAGCTTTCATTCTCACAGAGGTTGGAACATGCCTTCTTTTGACTCCTAGGAAAGTTGTGCATGTGGGGAATAATAAGTCACAAGGTGGTGGTAACTAACTAGAACAAAATGAAATGAAAAGCCTAGCTCAGAGCTAAGTTCGGAATAAAAGGGTCAAGTACTATGGTAAAAGAAAGGATTTCATTTTTGCCTCAGTGCCAAAGCTACCACATTAGTCGAAATCTCAGTGGAAGAGTTTGAAGTTCCACCGTTATTATCTTACTAAGTTCCGTGGATTCTTTGTCTGAAATATTGTTCACATCCATTACTTCATTACTGGCTTCCTTTCATCAACATTTCTTACTCAATCACAGTCTGGGTTTTCACTTTCTCTATCCTAAACTATTGCTATAGACTCTTTAACAGATTTCTTTTTCTGTTTTTCTTAAACATTGCCATATGTACTATAGTTGGCTCAAGACTTAATTTTTTGAAATAATTTCATTGGATGCCTCTTCTGTTCAAAACACAAGAACTTTTGGTCTATTAGATTAAGAACAAGGTCTTTAACTTGGCATTTAAGACTCCTTATAACATAACTCCTTCTAGATTTCCTATCTCCCTTCCCCAATACTCAGGTAGTTTAGTGAGAGGATTTGTCTCCACTCCAGAGGTACACCCTGACTAGGTTAAAATAATCCATGTACCTCAATCTCTACCTACAATATTAGTGATGAGCACACAACCTTAATAGGTCAATGAGCTCCATTCTGGAGTTTTGATTGCCCTATTGTGTAAATAAATAAATGAACTTTGTTTTTCTTGCTGGACATAAGCATATGAACATCTGCAACTATTAGCAACCACCTGGGGATCATCTGGAACTACTAGCAACCACCTTGGGATCATCAGAGGAGAACCTGCTACAACTCAAGTCAACACCAAGGAAATAGCTGAAAAACAGGAAAAAAGGATCTGAGTTCTGAGCTTGGTGTTTCACCCTGGGACAGAGCTTTGCTTGCAGGTAGAATACCCTGAATGTCTCAGTTATGTGTGTATTTATAGATTCCTTTTTTTTGTATTAAGCCAGTTTGGGCTGGTATCTGTTACTTGCAGCCAAAATCTTTACAGTCTATTTATTTATATTTTTATTGTGTTCCTGCCATTTCATTCATTTCTACTTCTCTCTCTTATCTATATTCTACCTCTTTTCATGATCCAGTCCTCTTCCCCATGAAATGTTTCCAGAGTCTTCTAATTCATAGTGAGAGAACCTTAATCTAAACCACTTTATTTTCCACTGTATATATTGATAAGAGAGCCCATCAAAGTGTATGATGCTATCATTTGATGACTCTCAAATCTTATCTTTAGCTTAACATTTTCTTCTATGGCCAGACTTTTATTTCTAACTGAATAGTTGAAATCTAAACTTGAATGTCTTGAGGGTCCCTCAAACTGAATTTTTCCATAACTGGATTCATAAAAACCTTCCTCTCAAATACACCTTTCCTCCAGTGTTGCCTATTTTTGTAAACAGTACCATCAGCCATCAGTTAAACAAGCCAAAAAGCAAGGTCTTCAACCTTTAAAAAAAGGAATCAGAGTAGATTTAATCCTTCTTTTCCCCCTTAGCCCCAGTACCTGATTATCAAATGCTTTTGATTTTACTGCTTAAATAACTTTAAAATCTATCTACTTTGTCCCCTTTCTTTCTCTATCTTCCTCTTTCCTTTTCTCCTCCACTATCATCACCACCACAACCTCTGAAACCTTGTCTGTTGCCTGGAATACTGCATGGCTTTTTTCTGTCTCTCATCTCACATTTTGTTTCTCTCCACTAAATTCTCCTCATGGTATTTAGATCGTTTAAAAACACACAACTGATCACGTCAACCCCTTGTTTAAAAGCCTTCAATGCCTTCTCACTGTTCTCAGGGTAAAGAACAAGGACTTACATCACCCAGTCCCTACCTCTTCATCCTCATATCCCTAGAGAGAAGTGACTATTTCTGTTTATAAATATCCTCCTTTTTAAAATACCCTGCATTCAGCAGAGTGCTTAGCACACAGTAGGCACTCAATAAATATTTGTTGAATGAATGAACAATTTCCTTGCAATAACTCCTGAACCAAGAACCACCTTGTGTTATTATTTTTTCCTGTATATTTTATTTTTTCAATTACTTATTAGTATGCTGAACGCAAAGAAATGTCCTATTTCTCTGAACTATATAGCAGAATGCTATGTAAGTATTAGGGGTTCAGAAGGCATGCAACTGTATTGAAACTGGTATTTCCTCTACTCTGATTCTTTCTTAAAAGGATAAGATTAAAGTGAACATGGGGAAATATATTATTAGTCTGTCAAAAATGGAAGTAAAAAATAGGCAACTTGTTTCTGGATCCCAATGCTACACAATCTGCATAGATTAATTATAAAGGAGCGGTTTTTCTGCATGACATGGAGAACCTTCAGATAAGCCCCGAGTTATGTGAATAAACACTCAAACATGATGCTTGCTATTTTCACTGTCATACTGTCAAATATTTTATATTTCTCTTTAAAAATCTTTTGTCTTTGAAAAATATAAGCAAAAATTCAATAGTTTCAATAATTTTTAAAATATTTATTTATTTATTTTTTGGCTGCATTGGGTCTTAGTTGTGGCATGTGGGATCTTTTGTTGCAGTGCGTGGGCTCTTTGTTGCAGTGTGCAGGCTTCTCTCTAGTTGTGGCACGTAGGCTCATTAGCTGTGGTGCGAAGGCTCTCTAGTTGTGGTGCACGGGCTCAGTAGTTCTGGCATGTGGGCTTAGTTGCCCTGTGGCATGTGGAATCCCAGCTCCCTGACCAGGGATCAAACCTGCATCCCCTGCATTGCAAGATGGATTCTTAACCACTGGACCACCAGGGAAGTCCCAATAGTTTCAATAATTAAAAGCTAAAGTCTTTTGGAGCTGAGACAAGTTATTTTGGAAAATAGTTATTCCCAAGTACAAATTAATTCCTAGTTATTGGATATTTACCTGAAAGGGGCAAAAAGAACTGCAGGGATTCCAAGGTAGGGATGAAATTTTAGCCTATGCTATATACTGATATTACCTTAAATAAGATATTTCTTAGGGTAAACTAAAATAAGAACATGTACTGGAGTCTAAAGGTAATGAAGCAGTGGGGCTGTAAGTGTTATTAAACAGGAGGATACAGGGATACATGTTTCTCAAAGGCTTCTGACTGTGATAATTGTGGTCAGAAAATGCTTAAGTTGAAAAATGGTAGATAGAATTGAGGGGAACCAGAAAAGGAGAGGCCAGGAAATTTAAGAGTAGATAATGCAAATTTTTGTGCCTGAATAAAATTCTTGAGCAGGCTTAAACATCTGTTTCTTAAAAACTAGTTGAAGTTTGCCTAAGGCATACTTATATACGAGGTAATCACCTTTGGGGTTCTATAGACTTGTTGTTTAGTTATAAATATCTTCTAGTTTTCTCAGGGTATTGAATCTGTTAGGGAGTTTGTAAAATTAAAAGAAAAGAAAGGAAAGAAAAAAAATTGAAAAAGAAACCTTCTTGCACAAAACGCATTTTAAGAATGACTACAAATAGTTGTCTTAAAAATCAGAGAGCAGGGCTTCCCTGGTGGCGCAGTGGTTGAGAGTCCTCCTGCCGATGCAGGGGACACGG